GTATATCCACGGAAATCCACTGAGATGGTGGTGAACGTTTGCCCAGTCGCGCAAGTCAGAACGGTCGCAAGTCTCCGCGATTGCAAATAGCAGCCAGCTGTGGTCATTGACTTTCAGAACCGAGATAGCGCTCATGAAAAGGATCCACAGCAGCAGTGAAAAATCGCCAGTTTGCGCGTCTTTGTGCGTCGAATAGAGCTCTCGAACGGCGTTCACTAGACGAGTGCATAGAAGCGACGAACTGAAGTTATCACGGCAGTAGTTGGGAAGCAAGCCGGTCATGAAAGCCAGCATAGCGAGACGTGCTGCGTCGTCGTAGAGGCCTTCCGAAGCAAGCAGGGGCTGACTGAAAGGTTCACCTTCCAAGAGACGGTATAGGAGTGATATGAGCGTTTCTGTGTAGTCTAAAGGGTTGAGCTTGGATCGTCCGTTCTTCACTCTGTCATTGAGGATGCCAGCGAAAACGATGAGATCTAGCATAATGCGGGGCAGTCCAGGAGGACAGGCAGAAAGCTGCTCTTTGACGGTGCTAGAGTTGCACAAGACAGTTGTCACCGGCACTTCCAGACTATCAAACATCGTAGGTGACCCGTTTTGCATAGACAATTCAATATCAAGCCTGCTGTTTGTGAGTATTCTGTGCGTCGAAGATTGGATGTCAGATTGTGAAGAAGCTGCTTACCTGAGTGGCTTGAGGGCCAATGGACGGTTCTCCTTCATCAATCTGGCGATACCCCCGCGTAACTCAATCATTCGATGAAGCCCTCTGAGATGCACGAGGCCGGTGGAGTGTTGCTGGTGTATCTGTTGGTAGATGGCGAGGGTGACGACAGCAGCAATGGCGCTATCCGATATGGCTTGGGGGCCTGAAAGTTTGAGGTTGACCAGCGAATATGCCTGACATATGTGATGCAAAGTCTTTGACGACGTGGTAGGCTTTCGTTCAAAGAAGTCAACGTAGGATGCCGACACAGCTAAGGTCGAGTGAAAGTCTAGGGCGGCGGTGAGTTCAGTGTAAAATGGGAATTCGTCCGCCATGAGTTACTCACAAGCTTCATCTACCAGTATGCAGTTGACCCAGATCGATTTCAATATATCGAACTTGTAGCAGAACTGGGGAGGAAATAGCGCGTCACTGATGTCTAGGAACCCTGGAAGAAACAAGCAAGTTAGAGAAGCTTCATGATAAAGGCTAGGGTGGTTGCAAGGGGTTGGGTGAGCCGTACACCGATGCATGAGCCTAGTGGAGTCAGGATCGAGCTCTTGCGGGAACGATGTTAGACAGAAGTCATTCCAGAAAACCCGTCGCGGTATCTTCAGCTGACGCTTGATGGGGACATTGTTCGTTTGTTTTCGTGTCGAGGGCCGTGGTCTGCCGGCATTCTTGCCCCTCATGACATGAGACCGAAGGGCACGACGGTCAGACTTGCCTATCCCCGCCGCACTCTGTTCAATGAAGACCAACGCAGGGCTCATCGTGGTCGCTCAAACGGTCTGTTCGATGTCGGTAGTGAAGATTACGGCAGGCGGGGTACTCTCCCTTGGCAGTCCATGAACTCAGCTGTTGCCTGTCTCCAACGGGATGGGCTATTTTTAGACTACGCTAACCTGATGTCGGATTTCTTACATGTTAATCCAACCTTGCTCCAATCACAAAGGGCGAAACCTCACATTACATCTTTATGGTGATACAAGTTTAAGCCTGTTGTCCTGCTCAATCAAAGAGGCTCATGCAGTCCAAATCTAGTCATTCTTCAAGATCGACGCTATACCAAAAGTAGGCGCTAGCAGGGCACGGTGTATAATGGAGATCTTGAAGTAAGTTTAGGAGGAATATTTAGATGATGGCTTCACTTATATCATGTGACTAGTTCGCGATTTTCTAACACGCTTTGATGGGGTTTGATACAAGCCATTACTCAATTTCTAGCAGTAGCGAATACAACAATCTCAGTAACCAACAAAAAGTCTATGCGTCCCTCGAAAATGTTCTCGATAGATCATGGCCACTCTAGCTCCAGCCCGCAACGTTAGAAGGAACTGGGTGGTATCCGTTGAAGAAGCCACGAGGATCGAACTTGTTCTTCAAGCTCGTCAAACGCTCATGACGCCACTCATTGTATCCGTACAGAGCTGACAGAGGCTCGTCCTCGTTGGCATAGTTCTGGTAGACGTAGAGCTTGTCGTAGCCCGAAGAGCTAGGCTCGGCAAACTTATCGCGCCACTCCGCGAAGAAGTTGTTCACAGCGTCGGCAACAGAGTCGTCCGTGTACGAGCCAATAGACTCAATCACGTTCTCAAAGTGGTCGCGATGGGGGAAAGCCGAGTAGTCATCGGCAAGCGCCTTGACTCCCTGCACGGGGAAGGTCTCGATCATCATGGCCGAGCCGGCAGCGAGAGGGTTCGCTACTAGGAACGTCTCAAATGCGTCGGTGAAGCTGACCCAGGTAGCCGGGTTGAGGACCTTGGTATTGAGGGCGCGCAGGTTGTATCGCGGTCCAGTCGCGCAAGATTGAGGGATGAGACCATGGACCGTCTTTGTGGGCAGCTCTTCCCAGCCCAGCATGTTCTCTTGCAGATCGACGCTGAAGGAAGAGAAGCGTTCGGTATACTTTCTGCCCTCTTCCTCCGGTCCAGAGTAGACCAGGTTGACTATGACGGTGATCTTTGGAGAGGTAAGCAAGGAACAATAGTGATAAGCTTGATAATGACACCCCGACGTACCTGAGATGTCGTAGCATCCAATGCGAAGAACATGAGGACGGCCAACTTTTCATCCAGACCTCCCGCGGTCAGTTCATTGGTGATCTCCATTACACGTTGCACGGAGTCCTTGGTGAAGACGAGGTCTGCACTGTAGTGCTTTCCTCCATTCGTCGCCGGCCAGGTCTCGTACGTCGACTCAATGACGATGCCGTAGTTTTGGCCAGACCCCCTGATTCCCCAGAAAAGATCGGGGTTGACGTTGTTGGAAGCCTCAATGATGGTTCCGTTCCACAGAGCCAAGCGGACCTTGCGGAGGGCATCGCTAGTCAAGCCGTGCAGGCCCTGAAGGCGACCGAGGCCACCGCCCAACATGGCGCCTGTTGAACCCACACATGGGCATGATCCCACAGCTATTGTCTCACGAGTTAGAAAATACAAGCATTTCATTCTCATCTTGGTGGGCTTACTTAGTTCTCGCCCAGCGGCCGCTACGGTGTCGATGAGATCGCTGAAACGGACACCAGTCCCCACGACCGCTGTGTTGTCGTCTTGCAGCTTGACGTAATTGAAGTTCTCCAAATTTATCAAGACGGCGTCTTGGATGGCGTGGAGAGACGGAGCATATCCGTGACCTCCAGACTTGGCCAGCCAGGTCATGTTGTTACCGGACATGTACTCAAGCTATATTCACGGAATCCTATCAGTCAAAGCTTCTTGCTGTCCAAATAGTTCCAGCCAAATGGAACAATACTATGTGTGCCAACTTACAGCAAGGGAGAGCTGTTCCTCAGTTTCGGGAAGGAAAACCTCATCAAAGGTAGGAGCCTTGTAGGACGACCAACGCGTCGTCTTTTCGCCGAAGCTAGCCCAGGACTTATCGTGTACCAGACTAGAAACTTCAGTCGGCCATACGATTTGAGAATCGTTGCGAGGATACAATGTTGAGAAAGTCAGGGGCGTGCTTGATGCCGTCTGGATGAAGGCCAAAAGAGCCGGTAGGGCTTGAAAGATCGCGTGGCGGGCCATTTCAACTACTATGGGAACGAATGTGCGTGAGTCTTCTTGCTGTTCAGGTTTCTTGGATAACACATCAAAAAGATTAGATTTTGAAACGAGGTCCTTGAACTTTTATATCCTTCCCACGCGTAACTGTTCACGATGGTGGCTTGCTGTGCCTCAGCCGCCAGGCCCCCCATCATCAGATATGAAGCCATTGTAGGGCCATCGTGGATAGATTGTTTTGCCCCTGAGACGGGGCGCAGCGCTTTCAAGCGATGCCAGGCTCTTCTGTGTGCCCCGAAGTGGTGATAGTTTGGATGAGAACATTGTAGGATTCTTCAGTCAGGGTTCAGCCGCTATCCTTCCCAACCCGATTGGGAATGGTTTCTCGTTTGGGGGCCTCGGTAAGCTGAAGAATAGGGCCCAGTCTCAATCCAGAAGCCGTACTTTGCGAGATGTATTTTATTTTGGTCGAATCGAGGCCCCGAGGCGCAATCCAGAGGCATTGTATACGTCCCTGAGGGATCACTAGTTCGAGGCAGCCGCATTCACCGATCCTTCCGTCCCGATAAGCGGATATACTAAGACCATATGAAGCTTGTAACACAGGGCTGTGAGTGCTTGAGCGCTTAAGGCGAAGCCGTGACAGCCGTTCGGGACTGAGGAGCCAAACGCATCAGCCGGAGGCGTTTTCCGATGGGTGCCTGCCTAGAGCGGATAGCCCTTGTGTGAGACTGACCGGAACGAGAGGGAACTTCAGTTGATTCTGCAAGGGCGGCGTAGCCAGCATCGATGATCCGGAGGACGAGGGGCGACAAAGATGGGCGTTCGTCCCAAGATTCTCACCCCCCTCACCCCCCTCCTGCTCCGCCCGAAGTAGCGAATCGCTTCGCATGGCCTCTAAAAGGTGGGACCGGTCTGGAACGAAGAGCGAAGAACATGATAACAATAGTATCACTTGTTCCTAGTTCGAGTTCTCACAGATTTGTGGCTTACTGGGCTTCTTGATCGTTGACTCGGGTCCGCAGGGCTGACAACTCGGGCCCGAGACCCACAAATCTAACTCGGGTCCCGGGCCGCGGGGCACTAGTTTCCGGCAAAGCATACTCCGCACTAGACCGGAACCTGTCGAATGCCTAGTCGGACGTCAAGTGAAGCCTAATTTGCGCAATCAAACCCATCGTTATTTGGTAAATCAAGCTGTTCGAGAGGTGACATCGAAATTCCGAACACAATTCTTACCACCCTCACATTCCCCAACTTTGACGTTGATAGAATTCCTACCTTAGCAAGCCATGGGTTCAGCCACAGAGATTCCAGCATACACTAGAAAGACCGTCTTGGTCACTGGAGCAGCTGGGACACTCGGCCAAGCGACTGCAATCTCGTTTGCTGCCGCAGGAATTGCCCGTCTTGCCCTCGTTGACCACGTCAACGTTTCGGATACCCACGAAAAGGTGGTCCAGGCAGCCATCGACGTCGGTAAACCGGCACCCGATGTGCTTGCTTTGACCATCGATGTCTGTGATGCCGCGAGCGTCGAAGCAGGCGTACGAGAGGTGAGCTCGATGTGGGGTCATGTCGACACTTTTATCAACATCGCAGCTTCTTCGCCTAAACCCGTCATCCCTCAGGGCGATGTAACTGGATTGAGAGACGTGGATACCTGGTGGAAGGTCTGGGAGGCCAACGTCAAGGGTATTAGCCTCATGGCTCGGGCCCTGGTGCCCCTTCTTTCGCGCAGCTGTGAAAGGACGATCGTGAATGCGGTTCCTGTGTTCTCCGTCAATCCCGCGGCGCCTCCAAGCGACAATCAATTGTCTGTGTTAGCCTCTACGCGGCTTTCTGAGAGTTTGATGCTCGACTTCGCGCATGAGGGCGTCCTTGTTTACTCTGTGAACCCAGAAATCAATCTGGAGGGAAGAATGCCAGAGGCCACGAGACAAGGTAAGTAAAGCTAGTGACGATCCAGGTTCCAAAGTATAAGAATGTTCTGGGTTAATGCTGATACTTGCCAGTAGTCAATACTGAATGCGGCGATGTCATTGTCCATTTGGCCGGCAAGCGGCGCGAATGGCTTGCAGGGAGACATATTGGGAGCGTGGAGGACTTGCTTGAGCTGCAGGTCCGTGACGAAGACTTGGATGGCAATCCTCTTCCAAAGATGCAGCCTCCAACTGAGATAGTTCCTTTCAAAAGTGAAACTTTTGTGCCGTCCTGGACATCCAGGAGGGGAAGAGTGCCTCGTAGTAGTTACTGAGAAATTTAGTATATCGTTTCTACCGAGGACTGATGGTCTTTCTTGGTTAAGGCATGCACGACTTAATGGGCAATGTCAGGGGAACTCAGAACGAACTGTAACCGGCGTTTTATCTACAAATGTAGGCTGTTTCTTTGGTGTTTTTATTTCTTATTGACGTTATATTTAAGGCTTATAACCGGGGACTTTGATAACAATGTGATCGTTCCCACTCTACAAACGTTTTTTTGCAAAGTTAGTAGACTTGATATATTCTGAAACACATCATAGGATACAGCCAGCTCTTATGGTCTACTTACCTAAGGTACATAGCATTGAGCAGTCTTATTTGAAAGCAGCCAACATCTATAAACGAGCATCAGCATTCAAGATTTAGGATTGATGTGAAGTATTTGGCAGAAGAGAATGCATTCGAGTACAAGTAAATTAATCAGGGTATCTTATATCCCCTACAGCCTAACTTCCTAAAAGTCAATATCACGTCTACGAAATCTGAGAAATACATCCAGGCTGCACCTGCTCCAGCTTGGCAACGAGTTCCTTCCATGTCGCCTTCTGCAAGCGCTGGCCCTCATCGTTACTAACCCAGTCTGGCACCCAGAACTCCTTGATCTTGCAGCCTGAAAGAAGCTTTCCATGACCCTCCGCGCCAACTACCAGGCCGTGCAGGATGGTGCGACTGCCCACTTCCGCTGTGCGGGCCATCATAGCCCGGACCGCCTCATGCATGATCTTGGTAAATGTCCTCGCATCACGTCCCAATCCGGTGGTGCAGAGACCAGGGGCAACCATAGTAATGACCACGCCCGTGCGGTTTACGGGAAACTGGGCCGCAAATTGACGAACAGCAAATTCCTCGACGAGCTTTGTGAGAGCGTACCTGGTAATTTTGCGTCAGTCCCGCAACATGCCGCCTTTTCTTTCTTGGACCTTCCTCTGACGTACCTTGAGTCCATGTTTGCGCGTTTTTCGTCGTTGAGTCCGTCAAAGACGCTCCCATTGCGACTCTTGTCCATCTCCGCCTTGACGGTGTATCCCAACACGCTGACAATGAAGACGAGCGTTGGCTCGATACTAAACTTGCGAGCGCTTTCGCTCAGCTTGGGCATCATCAAGGCTCCAAGGAACAACGTGTTGACGACATTGACGAAGATACTGCTCTCGACGCCTTCGAAAGTCTCCCACTGGTCGATCATGATGCCGGCATTGCAGACGAAGCCGTCAATCCTGTCCAACTCCTGTGAGATCTGCTTGGCAAAGGTTTGAACGGCAGCATAGGTTGATAAATCCAGATGCCGCACCTTTTGCCACCAGGGTTCTAATGTTAGTCTATCTTTCTCGGCCGTCAGTGGTTGGGGAAAATCGAGGTTACCTGTACGACGCCCTTGCGTCCTGTCGACTTCTCGATATCTGCCTTAGCTGTTTCTCCAGCGCTAAGATTCCTCACTGCCAGGACAACTGTCGCGGCGGACGAAGCGACGAGGTGTCGCGCAGTCTCCAGGCCCAAGCCGGAGTTGCCTCCGGTGATGACATAGGTTTTTCCCACGCAGGAGGACTCGTCCACCAGGATGGGGAGCTTCCTGTACTGCTCTGCAGTCAACCGTAGCATCACCATCTTTGCAACTATTATTCAACAAACGAATCGAAATTTAAAGATTTCTCGGAACGACAGAGAAAGTAGACTTTGGGGCGAATTCAAGAAGGGCGATGTGCACGGAGTGTTGGGTATGCCGGAAGACACGATACCGGCGTGTTCACGACACGGCTGTCATCTTTTATATCCAAAGCAGGCAGCATCTTACGAAGTCTCCCAGAGACGAAGGTAGTGTCAAGGCTACGGCATGGTCTCGGAACCACAATGGATCCAAAGCGCATGGCATCATTTTGTTCAGTCAGGATGTGAGTTCAAGGTAGAAGTGGCCAATCACAGGAACAGATCTAGATCTATCTAATGTGTGGGTCTCTCAGCAGCCAATTAGATATTGCTTTCTACTCTAAGACTAGCGTCTACGGACCGGTCCCTCCTGCCGACCTGTAACCCGAGCCAATCAGATATTGATTGCCTCTTCGGGGGGCGGACAGGGAAATACAAAGATCAAGTTCCTCCATCCTCGGACTTTTGTCCAATGAAATATGCTCAGATAAGACGATAGTATCCACCCCTCGGATACTTAGCTTGCGGCTCCACTGTCAGCTTATATGTATCCGTAGACTTGCACATGAAGGGGTATTGAATCCTTCCACGTCGTAGAACCCTTGAAATGATACTTTAAGCTACCTAAACAAGGTAGTCTGTGTTGCGTGATCCCGCCAGCCTCAACCGAAGTACTTCGTACGGGCGATTGGAGGCCCAGCCCGCCCGATGTATTAACAGGGAGCAGGGTCCTATCGCCCTACCCGTCCGCCACCCATTGGCGGCTTGGCCCAAGGCTCCTCCGTGCCTGCATGTGCACATTGAAGACTTCCAAGCCTTGATAGCGTGACTACCTCTGTGTAAACAATGATTCATTGAGTGCCTTACATTTTCTCTGACCTGCGGCGCAGTCTACCCTCGTACTGCGTGTGGTCCGTAAGACCATCCTCCCTCCATGCATCCGAAGGGGTCCCTGTCTATCTAGCTCTAGACCCTTGTCATAATATCCTCGAGAGCGCCAAGAACCAACACATTTCTCAGACAGAATTTCCAACAAATTAGATCTCTTCTGCCTCCACGTAGCTATCAGATTCAACTTCGTCCCTTGTCGTTCCGAGATGTCACCTGCGCCAGCCAGCTCGCCCGGAGGCGACGGCTGAGTAAGGGAGAGCTGGCCTGTACGTGGATCTGACATACAGCTAGCGCGGCAGGGCGTGCATACCGTACCTTACCGGTCGGGAACCTTCGTCTGATTTATCCGTCATCCCCCGGAGGAATTGGACCCTTGATCCGGAAACGTGTCGCAAACTTGCGGGGTGGGTTGAGGTGACGACGAAACGGGGAAAGCAACTTCCACATCACCCAAGCATGCACGAAATCCGATGGCGAAATCTATGGTCTGACAGGATCTGGATCAATTGGGCATATTCTAAGCGGCTCTTCTGCGCTTGCTTGAGCTGCCTAATGTGACGCTACCTTCTTGGGTTCCCGTATAGGGCTAGCCGTCTGGCGCCCGTTGCGGTATCAAATCATACGACAGGATGGTTCATCTAGAATGCTGCAGATACAACCGATTCGAGGAAGGTGAAGGATTGCATAGTGTCACACCAAGCAAATTTACTACATACCAAAAAGAAACCCCCTTTGCCTAGGAGCCTGTAGAAATGTTCTCGGTAGGATTAGGTGATGACTGGCGCATACATGTAGCATTGGCTTTCATCTCCTCTGCCCGGAGAAGGCGACCCCTGCTTATTGTCGCTACCGCTGTTGCAGAATACACCGAGCTCCAGCCTCTGAACCGAAGTTCTGCATGCAGAACTGCGCTCATTTGATTCCTTCGCTTACGAGCCAGGGCGCGGCACAGTGGAGGTCCTCGAAAGTAGGCTGCGCTGGGAAACGATGGAGGCGCGTTCTAATCATCGCCCCCGTTCATCATATATCTATCTAGATACCAGCTCACATGCGGTACGTCTTTCTTCATAAGAGCGAATCAGACAGTGAACCTTTGTAGACCACTTCAAGCTTCAGGCTGTCTTCATAGAACACTACTGGCATCTGCTTATCTTGTCCTCGCTTTTACATAAAATCCGGAAAACAACATGGCTCCTACCAGAGAAAGAAGATGGTGGACGAGCCAAGAAGATGACATACTCAAACGAGAGGTGCAGGGAAAAAGTACCAACCCCATCTGCCCCCTTGTTACGCGTGCTGCCAAATCTAACAAAGATCTCCATCTCCCAGTGCGCCAAGGCGGGAACGTCCAAAACTGGAACGACATCGCCATGTCATTACCGGGCCGTACCAACAAGGACTGCCGCAAGCGGTGGGCAAAGATCCAAGTCGATATTCGAAAAGGTGCTTGGACACAAGAAGAAGACGAGAGGTTGCAGAAGGCCGTGGCGCAACTCGGGTGCAAGTTGGTTCACCCCACGCTTCCCTATTACCCATTTCTCGGGTCTCATCAATGCTAACCTCCACCCTTGTCATAGATGGTCACAAGTAGGGGCCATGGTTCAAAGTAGAAATGCCGACCGTAAGTAGAAATCAGCGTCGTTAATATCCCACCATTGTTTCCCCTTCAGTGCTGAGGTGCATCCTTGCTGCAGAATGCGCGAAACGTTGGCAACATGTATTGGGACCCGACGTTAAGCATTGTTCATGGACCCCCGAGGAGGACAAGACGTTATTGGACGCGATGGGTAAGTTTGGAAACAACTGGAAGCAGATTGGTCTTACCGAGCTGCCGGATCGTTCCACCCACGATCTACGCAACAGGCAAGTCGAAAAATCTGAGCCATCTGTATGGATTTACGGCTGACCATGGCTCACAGGAGTCTCATTCTCGGCCGCAGGAGTCGACATGCACAAGCTAATGACTCGAATTCCTCTTCACGGTCATTACCGGAGACCCATGACGAGGAAATGGCCAGCAGTAGTCCTGACGTTAATGATGAGGACGAGAGTTGCGAGGGTGACGGTTACGACGTATTTGATGAAGGTTCCGAGTGTGAAATGACCGACTCAAGCGGAAATCAGAAGCATCAGCTCGTGATGGACATGAGTCTCCTGTCCGATGAACCAGTGGAGGCAACAGAACTCGGGCCCACGTCTACGATCATACCAGACTACCGTCACTCAGACACATTCTTGGCAGTACCCGCTCTGGAGTTGCCAGGTACTACTTTCGACATGTTCGACCCGAGCTGCATAGGCACCTCAGATCACTCATCGGGGAATTCGGCTATTCAAACTCCGGATAGCGATTGGATGTCTTGGCTCAATTCGCTTGAGAATGACACCTCAGTTTCGCTGGATTCCCGGCCCTCATGGTGGGATGAAGGTCCCACTGATCAAAGTTACTTTCATGACTCCAGCTATGGAAGTTTTGATGTCAACACGGCTGGTATTTCGGATACTATTCATATCTCAAGAGCAAGGAAACGTGTCAAAGGCGAGGCTTCTCCAAGAGCTTCTCTCGGGTCAGTGACTCGCGCTGAGAATCCATCGAAGGACAATGGACAGATGGGTCTTGTCACTTTGTCTCTGGACCAAGTAGACCCGATAATCGCCAACGAGATAATAGGAAGCGTCATGAAGCACAGCGCTGGTCTCAAGATCAACTGTACCGTCAATAATCACCCATAAGTCTCGAGTAGTGTATAATACGCATGTATATATATTTGTACCGCGCATACGCGACCATATTGAATGGATGAACTCATGACAACTCCTCATAGAAGGCAAATTGATGGCGTGACACATCTTTTTTGTCTCTCGATACTGCTGAAATTATGTGCCAAATCTTTGCACACATCATCCTCGACAGACATCGTCATAATTCTGGTCCAGGAATTTCAGCAAGGACCCGAGTTCTGCTACTTCTGCGCCCAGCGCAGTAGCCCGACTTGGGTCCAAGTACATCTGATTGGTTCAATCAAATGCCCTATTGTTTGTAGTGAGTGTGACAACAAATATCGAGTTGTTCTTGATGGTGCCACTGGCATACCACTTCAGAATACACGCGTTGGCTGCCACAATCCAAGTTATCCTATTCACCCATCTTCCCCAGTCATCCGGATACCTATGCGTCAATGTCGTCTTTCAGAACGCCCAAGGTGAGCCTAGAGCCCGCTTCAACGTCCGGCCTGCGAACGCTTCCCGAATTGGTCGACTTCCACGCCAAAAGCAACCCCAAGCACCTATTTTGTCTCCAAGCCGACGCAAATGCGGCTGGAAATGGCCACAATTTTGTGCCCTTGAGCTATGAGACGCTACAGCGCGCCATCATCCGCTGCCAGGCATGGCTCAAGGAACAGGCAACCAGTCTTCATGCACCGAAGACTGAAGCCGATGGTAGCGTGAATAAATGCGCCCCCGTCGCGGTGCTCATGGAGAGCCATGTTGGCTTGGTCATCTGTGTGCTCGCCTGTATGGGCATGGGCGTGCCAGTTGTCCTCCTGTCGGCGCGTCTGAGTGCGCCGTCCGCACGACATCTTATCCGCGAAACGGGCGTGAAACTTGCTCTTGTGTCTCCGCGCCTATTGCCCCTTGCTTTCGAGGCAGTTGGTGCTGAAACTCAAGATGGAAAAGAGATCCCTGATGAGAGCACGATCATGATCCGCTCTGTATCCGGCTACGAGTCGTTCCTTGCAGATGAGCCCGCAGAAGACCAGAGTCACACCTTTCGCGCTGCCGATGCGGATCACTACGTTTCGGAAGATGATCGCCAGGTTCTCATCCTACATTCCTCAGGGACTTCGGGTCTCCCAAAGCCGATACCTTGCTCTCATCGATACTTTCTGAGCTACGCCACATGCCACAACTTCGAATCGACCAAAGAAGCTCATGGACTGACGGTCTCTACACTACCGTTCTTTCACGTAAGTTAACAGAAGAAACGAATCTATTTCCAGTATCGCATCTGACCACAGAGGCAGGGTTTTGGCTTCGTATCCGTCTGCCTGTCCCTCAATATCGGCAAGACATTTTGCGCCCCTGTACCTTCCACCATCCCCAACGGTGCCAGCATCGCAGCCCTCATAGAGGACTCGCAAGCGAAGGCGTTATTGACAGTTCCGTCTATCTTGGAGGAAATTGAGGGCTTGCCAGATGGCAGAGGACATGATATCCTTCGCAAGCTAGATTACGCGGGCTTCGGTGGCGGCAGACCCAAACCCTCGGTCGGTGAGAGACTTGAACGTTCGGGCGTGAGACTCGTCGGCCAGTACGGTGCGACAGAGACTGGTCCAATGACACCTTTTTTCGTGCCCGGCAAGGAACACGACTGGCGTCGACTGCGACTGCGTGCTGATATACTCGGACCGCTTCAAGTGAAGCTTGACCTCATCGATGCAGATGCAGAAGAGAGTGCGCAGACCGAATCCGAAGCAGAACGATCTTACAGCTACAAGCTGAGCATGAAGCCGTTTGGGTGGCAGGAGCGCTTCGAACTGCAGGATATAATCGTAGCACGCACGGAATGCGCCTCGGCCGATGACGTGGGACAGCTGGATTTTGTGATTACGGGCCGCAAAGACGACCTGATCTGTCTTGCCACCGGAGAGAAGGTGAGGCCAACGATATTGGAATCCCTGCTCAGACAGCATGAGGACGTGAGAGACGCAACTGCTTTCGGTGAAGGACAGTTCGAACTCGGTGTCATTATAGAGCCTGTCAGACCCGTCGAACCCAGCGAGATGGCCAGCTTCAAGGCGTCGATCTGGCCGGCAATTGAGGAAGCAGGCCGTCAAATGGATTCTCATGCAAGAATTACATCGTCTACCGCGATTCTCGTCGTCGCTCCCGAAGCGCTCCCGAGATCAGACAAGGGCACTGTTCTCCGGAGCGCAGTGTCAAGGAAGTTTGCCGATGAGATGGCGGCAGTCTACTGTGATCTTGAGGCAAGCATGGTTGCACCACCAATCGACCTATCCTCGCCTGCGTCCAGTATCAGAAATCTCGTTACCCAGGACGTTCTGGGGTTAGACAACGGCCGTGATTGGGAGGACGACGATGATTTCTTTTCAGGCGGCATGGATAGCCTTCAAGCGACGAGACTACGAAGACTGCTGACGGCTTCACTGCGCGCAACGTATGCCGCCTCTAAGCCTGGGACAGCCAACCTCCTCTCCGCGGACATGATTAAAGATGACATCGTCTACCGCAACCCTTCTGTGAATAAGCTGGTTGAGGCACTGATTCCCAGTTCGTCCAAGACAAATGGAGTCATTACCGAAACAAAGCTTATCGAACAGCTGGTAGACAAGTACTCCAGCAGAGGCATTCACCGAGAGCAGCGAAAATCCGTGGTATTGCTCACGGGCGGCACTGGCAGTCTCGGGTCTTTCTTCGTTGGGCGGCTCCTTGCGGATGATAACGTGAGCAATGTCATTTGCTTGAATAGACCTAGAAAAGGAAACCCTACAGAAGCTCAGAAACATGCGGTAACGTTACGAAAAGTCTCTGTCGATGAGAAAGCTTGGAAGAAGTTGGAAGTCCACGAAACAAATACTGCAGATCAGTGGCTCGGCTTGCCAGAGGCCGAGTACCTGCGTCTCGCGGCTAGGGTAACTCACATCGTACATATTGCGTGGCCCATGAACTTCAAAATGGGTCTGCAGTCGTTCGAGGCTTCATTCTCAAGCTTGCTGAACCTCATCCAGCTAGCGCGCCAAGCGAGCATTCACCGGGCACAGAAGCCAAAGCTGTTACTGGTATCCTCCATTTCTACGGTGGGGAACTATCCGTCAATCAAGGGACAGACTTTGATTCCCGAGACGTCTGTCGAGGATCAAAGCTGGACGCTAGATCTCGGCTATGCCAAAGCCAAGCTTGTCTGCGAGAAAATCATCGGACGCACGGCACAGGACCATCCTGAGATAGAGGCGGCGGTGGTTAGAGTCGGCCAGATTGCCGGCTCTACCACCGGCTACTGGAACGCTTCTGAGCACTTTGTAGCCCTTTGTGCTTCTTCTCAAAAGCTGGGGAAATTTCCCGACCTGCGTGGGGTAAGTCAAGATGTCAGAGAAAAGGCTGTTCTGCTAGCTTGAACATTGGGGCAATTCCATTTTGCTAATAAACTTTGCTAGACCTTGTCGTGGTTGCCGGTCGATATAGCTGCCGAAGCCCTCAGCGAGATTCTCTTCCATCAAGAACCACTCAGTGCAGTCTACCATCTAGAGAACCCAGCCCGGCAGAGCTGGGAGGAAGTTGTCAGACTGATGTCTGAGGAACTACGGATAAGCAGGTCGTCCATCATCCCGCTCGAGGCCTGGCTCGACTTGGTCGATACTATACCGGAACCAGGCAACCCTGCTGCAGGTCTCACACGATTCCTTCGAGAGGATTTCGCCAAAATGTCGTGTGGATTTGTTGTCCTAGATACCAGCAATTCTCGCAATGTGAGTTCGACCTTGGCCAATATGACGTCGGTGGGGGAAAATTTGATCAGGGCATATGTCTCCTACTGGAAGAGTATCAAAACGTTGGCGTAGATACCTGACGGACCATTAGCTCTGGACTTATTGATATTTGGTGTTCTAAATGAGACCAAAAGCTTTATCATGTCTAGATCTCAGAATGCAGAACAGTACTATAGCTCGACTTGGTCATCTTGTTTTGGGCACTAGGTGTTTGCATGTTCAGTCTGATGAAATTAGACCATTAGCAGACAATCCGGCTACCATATCACGTTCTGTCTCAAGTTTCTGCTCGGCGACCTCGACATGCTATTTGCCGCTGTACTTTTGGGGCACAACGACATCACAGAGATAGCGTCGTAGGTAGTCAGAGCAAGAGGAGGAAGAGGTCGCAATCCTGAGTGAACCAAATATTTATATTAGGTTTAGCCTGAGTTCCTTATACATAATTCCATACCGCAAATATTTCTAGCCCTACGTGTCAGCCGATTTCAATCATTTCAAATGTAGTTTAGGGAACCGTACCTTGCGGCTGTTAAGGTGTAAGCGTGCAACCCAAGTCCTTATTGCATGTGTTCAAACACTTCTCAAAGACGGCATTGCTTCCTTTCCCAAAGAAGCAATCTTTGCGGCAAAGATCGCACTATAACATGTTGGTCAGCGTTTGCGTTAGAAAGGCAGGGGGCATAGCTAACGTACAGCTGTATTGGTTGTCTGGCGAATCTCGAGACTAGCAGGGCTGGCGAAGGCAACGCCTGCAAAGAGAGCAAAAATAATGGTAGACAGTTGCATTTTGTAATGGTATAATATCTTCGGTCAACAAAAGATTTCGCAGCTTGGCAATAGTGAAGGAGAATAAAAGAGAGAGTTGCTAACAACTTTGTTTAGAGAGTGAACAGATATACAGTGTTCCTTGAAGCTTGAGAGAGATTGAATGCGTAACTCATCTTGACTAGGTATCCTGAGAGAACAATCTGGAAGTATTTAACTGAATACCTACATGGAGTTTTTGACAGGGGCTCTTTCGACGTTTGTCTAGGTCTGGGTGGCCTGACTAGATGTTCTGGACAGCTGACACAAACCTGACACAAGGCACGGTTGAGTCTCGGAAAGTGCCTGCCAAGGATCCAGCGAAATAATAGCATAACAGAGATGTTCTGGTGATCAAGTGGCCTACTTGGTACGCTGTAGTCCTGTTCTGTACGTGAAAACCCCCTTGTTTTCACGTTCCGGCACCATTGTCAAGACGAAGTCTCGGCCATCACTGGTGGACCAGCACACTGGGTCACTGAGTCAGGTAGTTCATCCGGACAACGCGACAATCAGCAGGGCAAGAATAGAGTTTTTGTCAAGCATTTCAATAGCTCGGTTATCAAATTTGTGAGACAAAGAAGGAAGGCCTTGATGAAGAAATTCGGTCTGCCCCATCTCTCTTTACTTATTACTCGTAGGCTCAGGCCGTCCTTAGTCGAAATAACTTCGCATAGCAACATCATATTGATGTTGCATAGGTCCATAATCTCAACAATGCTCGTTTTCTTTTTCATTCGATTTTAAGACCTCTCACTTCAACCCAGCCTCTTGCAATAAGAAGGCTAGGTAGTTGACGTGATAGTCAAGAGCCCTCATGTATGAAGTACGTCAGTTTTCGTGATATCAAAGGAGCACGGCTTTTTTGCTCTCTTCAAAGGAACCCTTATTTCGGGCTGTAATGATAGCTCTCGAGATTCAATAAGGATTCGACCGACAACTAATTACGCAATTGAATGTCTATCAACGCTGTATCTGCAATCATTCTTGATTACTCTCATACCGCATGACTCATAACTCACTTAAACCGTGCGGAATCTTAGTTTTCAAGACTCGGTCTCGCAGTTTCCTCAGCGCGAATGGCGACTATGCTTGAGCAATACGAATTGAATAGTCAATAGGTCCTAGGAACAATGCAGTGAGGAGGATTGCACGTGATGACATTACTCGTACACCCACTAATTACACCGCCACAACAAGACAGAGTTTGACCTCAAACGTCAGGAAATGTTCAGTTCCGCCTGAAACCTTCCCCAGAAGCAATCAATTATCCGCCAAATATCGGAGACACCGGCAGCCCACCGGTAACCCACTAGCACCTTTGCTATAATCCCACCCTTCTTAGCAGACATCAGCATCCAGAGAAGAAAAGTTTCCTGCGTGTCCCAAGTATCCGTACGGTCAAGATCGACATATAATATCTATCACGGAACAAGGATGGTTTCAGCACTCGTCAGGAAAGCTATCACGCGCTTTAACACGTGAATTCCATTCGCTTAGTACATAAACTATCTTCCTTTCTTCGTTCTGGTTGGATTAATACCAGTTGCTTTCAATACCTTTATATACTCCTTGCTGCGTGTCATCACCTGCCACAACATTTTGCCGGGTTCTACTTGCTGGTTAGTTACGAAGACAACAGCGGTAATGCTTCCTTGGTAAACACTAAACGGTGAGGCAGCCTAAGAGCTTGTCACTGACTGCCTGCAACGCTGCTGGCGACTGCATGATGTCTTGCCTCGACGAGAGAGGGATCCCGGGGAGTTAAGGTGAATTGAGCAATGGCGATAGCAGATAAAGGAACTTCAGAGCCTTCTCCCCTAAGCTTAGCTCAAGGAAGAAAAGATGCATGTTTCCACATGCTGCGTCTTACATATTGATGTGCTTGAGTAGCATGTTTCAGTCATAAATGATCGCACATTAAATACGGCGCTTTGTGTTCGGCGATGTTGAAAGTCAAACATTGAAGCGAAGTCGTAGTAATGGCCGTAAACAATTACTCCTTGGGGTATGTATACCAGATTTCTTTCCAATGCTGACACTACACGGTCTTGGAACACATGCTTATATGCTAACTGAGATCGGTGTTACTGTCCCTGATATATCACACAGGTTCCTGGGAGCTTCTCTGAAACATCTCATCAGGCTATCCCATTAAATACTAAATGGCATATAAATATAGGTACTCTTATAGAGGTCGATACCTAATTGCTGATTAATTCAATCTATTTTGTGAGTAACTTCGAAATATAATAGGGCTACCAGGAGAAACAGTAGTGCCGGACATGATGACGCTATTGTTTCTGGCAGTCGATGGGCTGAATTTGGGCCTCATCATACGACCTCATCATATGATGCTTTCCATCAGATATGGCCCGTGGAGGGTACTTCTCGTGACAGCAGACCAGAAATGACTGCAATTCTGCGAACGCTGGTTACGAGGTGTGCCAGGCTGTGTGGCATGCACCCAGGAGCTCATTGGGAGAGCAATCAATCCAAAATCTTGAGCTAGGCATTCTTCTCCAAAGGTCAGGCGTACTTCTGATTTGCGGTTTAGTCGATGCAAATTCCGACGTCCTTCTGCTGGGCCTCATTCGTGCACGTCACTTGCCCACCGTCCAGGTCGTCTCAAGATCAGGCTGTAAGAGCTTGCGGCTTATCCCTATAAAGCCAGCTACTTTCGCCGTGAATGTCACTTCGAGACCCTAGGCAGTCGGATGGTTGCGACTTGAGACCGCCCACTTGAGGACAGGAGCATCATCAATTGGAAAGCCTATCGTCCGGGTCCCGAAATTAGACGACGACATTATCGCACCAAGTCCGTCAAGGGGCCGCACTTTCCATCTCAGTGGCCTCAACATGGAGTCCGATAGACGGTTCCTCTCACGGTCACAGTATGTCGCCGATACCTCTTCGCCCATATGGCACAGAAGAACATGACATGCTTGACCGCGACGTATCGCGGAATCTCTTGCATAGAAGCAGCAGTCACGGCAGACCTGGCATCACGCCCACAGGGTCCTGTACACGCCTCAGTCAGCTTTCTGAGATCTTCCACTGCTTGGCAAACCAACGATGAAGAAGAGATTCTACTATTCGGACCCAGGGATGGTTATACTGTCCTTCATCTACCTCGCCTTAGGAATATTGGTGGTTTCTCATGAATCCATCTCTTGGTATCTCGGTGTCGGTAACAACCAGCTCATTGTCGTCGGATTCCTTCTCAGCATCACGAGTCTATGCTTAGGCAGCGTCGCGCCGAACCTGTTCATTCTCATAGAGGTCAGATTTGGCGAGTCGGATGGAGATCAACAGCTTTGACTACATCTCCAACAAGACCTATTATGGCATGTTCCAGCCGCCTGGCATACTTTCGTTCAACGGCGTCTCTGGGTTTTTCAACGCAACCACGGATTTTCGGGAAGCCACAAAGCTCAGCTCAAATGGCTCTGAGCCACCTTTCCCAACACTGCCGAGCACATATGACTACAATATCTTACTGTTGAATGAAACAAGCGCCGCGGCGCTTGATACTATCCAGGCATTTTATGTGATCGCAACACAGGAGCGTCTCGCAATAGGTGAATTATGGACCATCGCTGCAACGGTGACAGGGACAGTAGCCACCTTCAATAAGATGATGGACTCGGATCGACAGACATTCGAAAGCGACTTAGTGTCTCATTGTCTGAACAGAAACGCCTGGGACTTCGATACCAAAGACATGTTCAACGGGTGGTCACTCACACTCACGAACCGGAAATCTGACTCGGATCAATCGATACAGTATATTGGGCTGGAACCAACCAACCCGGAATGTGAGTCCATTTCCAAACATGTCTATCTGTATAACACCTACCGGTAATAATGTAATGGAACTTGATGAGTCACACAAGGCCGTTTTCAGCTGCTGAGCGGCCGTTGCGACGATGAAATCTTGGCTTGACCTCAGCAACTTCCATTTACATTCACATATCTCGCACTGGGGTCTTGGTACATGCTTCCCTTAATAGAAATGCTAGGCCCATTCTGCGGAAACAACAAAACATGTAACATAGGCATTCAGTCCCGTTGGATGCAGCCATGTATGGCCACATCGGTCGCTGCGATGCTGTGGTCAAGGAACGCAGTCATGAAAGGCTCGGGGGCCTTCAACTCGGAAGAGTTCAATGTGAGTTCTATGCCCTGGGAGTTGAAAAATGAGACCAAGGTACCTTACGAAGACGTCCGAGTCAAGTGCAGAGTCCCTCAAGCCGAGCAGATCATATTCTATAACAGACCAACGTTACGGAAATCACCTGGGCTATATCTGGTGCTTGCCATCCAGCCATTCTTGATAGTCATCATCCTGGGACTAACTTTCATGCTTCACTCGGAGCCCCTGGGTAAGGGATTTGGCCTCGTCTCGATCTTGTCGGGCATCGACAGTCAGAGCCTGAGCAGCTTAGCGGTATCATCTCTTTTAGGGGAGCTTTCGCGGCCTGTCAAGCTTACAACGTCTCCCGTTCAAACTGGCGGCACAAACACGATACAGTGTCGTGCAAGAACATCTTCAGAAGGGCGTAAGCGAAATGGGAAGCTATCTAGGAGCGTTGTTAATCACTGAGGTGAGCATAACAAGTATCGGTAAGCAAATATATGCAGTTTTGGCATTATCCCATCAACCAGGAGTATAGATTGCATTGATAAACCAGTTTTAAGCCTTCAGTCTTTTTCTGAATCTGCTCAATTTGCGTCTTTTTCACAGGTAGATATGTGGTGGTCTTTTTCCGGCTTGACAGGCGCAAGAGATCGATCTCAATGGGATGAGGCTCACATGTGAGTATAAGAGAAGGTTAGGTTGATGTATGATTTATGATTCCCTCCTACAAAGTATCTACATGTATGTATATGGGTATCAATCCTACATAGTATTTGATTGGAGAAAGCCATTAGCTTTCCTCAGTTTTTCCAGAACTTGGACACATCACAACGGACATGACAGTCATGTGTATTGCGGAAATTGGCACCTCAAATCGTTCAAGTCAATAACAACATTGATTGTAGAGCGCCTGCGAAAAGAAGTCTGAGGACCAGGTATCCGGGGTATCGAAAGAGGACGCAATTAAGAAGGCAATAGACGCCGGGGCTGGGGCTCATCGCAAAAAAGACTGACTGGTAAGTCTCTGGTCAGAATATCAGAGACAAGCGCAAAGGTAACGCAACAGGAACAACCAAGCATGCCGCTGACTACAAGACCTCTCTCCCTTCTTTGATGTCTGACCTCAACCTACAAGGTGCACTGAGATCCTACCTGGCCAGAAAGCAAGACCACATGTAGCCAAAACCAAGGCTTTCTCACAGTAGTCTTCGACGAAATTCCATCCACGCCAAGCCTCAAGGCGAGCTCACAAAGGCAGGCATCCGCAAAGACTCGGTCGTCTGACTGATCTTCCTTTGATACGGCAGACAAGACCGGGTTCTCGACTCTGCACCTTCCCGAGATAGCACCACGCCACGAGTTCCCAAAGAGCAATTCATCCGTTCAAGAAGACATCTTAATTCAGGTCCCAACACAAGAACTCGTCGGCACAGAAGTAGCTGGCCGTAGGCAGTCGAATCGGAGGATTTGATCCTGAGCCCTACAAACCCTGAAGCTGAAGGAGGGCGGCCGTAGCTCTGGTCCGGCACTTTGCTGTTAGTATCTCATTGGCGAGTATGATGTACCGGCGGCCAAGTGAGGTGTCTGAGATGCGGGCGTGGCAAGTCCAGGGCCTCGTTCTCTTGGACCAACATCGGGCGTTCCACGGTACGTGGGATCGTCAACTTGGTCCTGGCAATTTCACATCAGCGTATTCGGATTGATGTCGGTGTGGAGGAGCAGATGGTGCTTCACTGCATGCTTGGAGTACGAGGCGGCAAAGTTGCAGATGAGAAGGCTGCTGCTATAAGTCTCTCGGTCCAACCAGCAGACATCAAAGTGCCATACCGCCAGTAGTCGAATCTTGAGCCGCAGGTCTCGCGACAAACGACAGCCAATGAAGCCAATATCGCAACGAGCCGGATCAGTGGACATCCGTGACCTTGCTGAATGATCTTCGTTGCAGTTGGGATGCAGTAGGCAAAAGTCTGGGGGTGGCCGCGTTGGAGGGACCGAACTCATTTGAACGTCCCAAGAATCGCAAAAAAGGGAAAGTGTGTGCATCAAAAGATAGAGAGCAGGGTTTGGACGACGACCCGTCGTTTGAGCGTTGTCCCGAAATTGGTTCTTTCGCGTAACGGCAGGGCGGTACTGCAACGTCAACAACAACCCCCAGTTCACAGCAAGGTCCCCGCCAGGACCGGAGAATTTGGACCGCCCTTCGGTCTGGGATCTGGACCGTCTCATTGGAAACCACAGATTGACGACAATGCTTCTGTCACAAGTTGAAGGATTTCACGGGACGCGTTTCGGTCTTACCCCAGAAAAGCCATAGAAATCTGAGAGGTGTTTGCCACACCAGTAGCTCCTGAACCGAAAGCCAGATTGCCATATGAGGAAGCGAGCTGATGCCGTCGCCAACTTTGGAGGGTTCGGCATGGAGGCACAACACAGCCACGATACGTTAGTGAAAGGAGAACGAACGATAGGCAAGCATTTTTGACAGGTCAAAGTCACCTCACTAATAAAGAGAGCCCGAGCAGGGATGCCATGCGCCATTCGGTGGCTTGTTGACTGGTATCCGCAGGCACAACGGTTGTGCCATTTGCTGATCCACATTGAAGATCTCCTTTCTTACATCCAGTCAAGTCGACGGTTCGGGCACTACTTGGTTCTACTGAGTCTTTGGGTACTAGGTTTGAGTTATTCGCCGGCACTTGTGTAGTCTCCTCTCGATCCGAGCGAATGGCCAGTGTGTCGGCGCTCGAGGGAATACAGAGCGCATACGGTCTTGTAACTGGGTCAAGATTGATGTGTAGGAGGTTGGAGATGAGGAGCGAGAGTTAAGTTAGAAAGCGCCGGCCAAAATATTCATGTCAACGCGGTACCAAAGTTGATTCCATAATGCTTGCTGGGTTTACTCGCTGCAGGCGCCGTATGCCAACCCAAACGATGCAAGTATGCGCTGTTGAGGGCAAGCCTGGTGTTCCGTTCGGCGCAAGCGGTGGTCGATCAGTGTCCCGCCAATTTTGTGACAAGGGTTGTTAATTGGGGCGACAAGTAGCCAATAACGACGAGTCAACGCTCATCTCTGGCCTGTCTGCCTCTAATCATTGACTCTCATCATGTAAAGATCGATCCATAGAAATCTCAGCTGAGCAGCACACTCGACTTGAGGCCGTGGTGCAGATGGTTTTGTCCAGTATTGCAATGATGAAGTGCGTTGTGAGAGGGACGGAACGCTGCCGCCAAGGAATCCAAGCGCGTACTCGTATTGCCGAAATGTGTGAACGGCTGGCTGCAGACAAAATGCTGACTCTCAGCCTCGATTTCCTTTCGCGATGTCTTGCTTTTTCTTTGCCGTTGCCGCTCCTGCGAACTGAGGAACGGCCCTGGGCATTAAAGGCATCCAACGGCCAGCGCTGGCGGATTTGATAATGGCTGTCGGTTGCATTGAACGCGCGAGACCGTGTCTTGGCTAGGCAGCTCGTGGCGTTGTCCCCGAAGAAGCCGCCCGTTTCTGGGTCTTTGGGATGAGCGTTAGGAGGGCAGCTAATATAGACGGGGATCCATGATTGTGGCGCGGCCTGTCGCCCTAAGAGGTTACGTCCAGTGTCCGTGAGTAGCATTCGGTGCGTCATCCATCAACAAGGTCAACTTTTTAATAGAGATTGGCCAGGGGGTAAGGTAGCTCTCAGCAAAACGAGTTCGCGTGCCCTTGGGAGCGGGTTTCTCCCGGGAGAAGTGGGGGAAACAACGGTGTTCTGGGCTTCGAGGCTTGAGATATGAGTCGGCCGCACTGCCAGCTCCAAAGCATCAAGGATAAGACGATTGGTCTGCCAAAGATTTCGAGAGCAATCGAAAAAACAAGTCGGGGTGCGGTGCGGCGTTGAAAAAGTTTGCAAGGGCCGAGACAGCTGAAGAGTATACACTCCGAGAGAAAAGTTGGCCCCCTGAGTATTTCCGTCGCGGAGCTCATGAACGACTAGCCCTGGCTAGCGTCCTGTCTGTCTCTCCAAAAATCGAGCCGCCCGAGTCAAGAAGGAGAGGGAGGTGGCACAGACGATGATTTGACGGCTGCCAATATGACGAATTGCTGATGACAAGACCAGGACGGCTGAAGGATTGCTGCTAAAAGCTTGGGACCACGGAGGGCTTTCCCTAGCCTAGCGGCGAAGCCAGGTGCCAGTGGAGAGCAGGCCAGGATGGCGACCAGCAGTCCCGGGGGGCATATCAAGCTGTGTCTAACTTTGATGCTAAGGCGACTCGGGTGCAGGGATGCGCGGCACACCTTCTCAAGCACTGCACCACAACTTGGCATCTTGGATGGTCTCTTGCTAATTTCCCTTCCAAGGTTGAAATGCAGCAGCACACATGGCCGGGAAAACAACCGAATTCTGATGTTGCTTTGGGGCCGCAGAATGCCTGCATGTCAGCCTGCTGTCCTTTCCGAGGTGTCCTTGGGCCTTTTGGTCGCGAGGTATCCGTATATTGTATCTATGACAATTGCCATCCTATTGATGACCCCCCTGAAAGAGGAAACGGGCAAAGGCCATCTTCACAAATTCGTCAGGCCTGGGAAGTCGTCCGGAGCGCATGCAGGGGAGCTTCAAAAGACATTTGATTTGCAATCCCGCGGCCGGGCTCGCCAGGCACGCCGACAGCCAGGGGTATGATTGACAAATGGGGCAGCCTAGTTCATGTTTTGCCGGGGCTCCGGATCGCCTTTCTTTGGTATCTTGAGTTATTTGCTGTCGCCGACAACCTGTATCCGTACATGGTGGTGCGGTTGCTACCCGAAGGACGCAGCGAGCAGCCATAAACACGCGTATATCGATATTCGTGGAAACGCCTCACCCTTGCTTGGCAGTCTTTCCAGCCTCTAGACTCCGATGCGACTTCTGCTGTGCCTCCGTTCTCCGAGCGTGTTCTGTTGATATGCGATCGCAAGGCCCGAAGATACATAGATAACAGTGGGGGCGCCATGGGACATTATTGCTGCTGCATTGCAACATGGTCCGTATCAAGGCAGAGCGACAACGGGATGCATGGTACCTTGTACGACTCCTATTGCGCCCTGATGGTGTTTACCAGGTCTTGGCGGCATCGACACGAGAGAAGCGCATGCGGAGCCTACAGAGACAAGTCATAATTGTTAGCACTGAGGCTGGTGATGTAGTTTGTGCTCATCATGTTCGAAATAAACAGCGGTTGTGGGAATGTGGGAGAGCCTAGGGGATCGTTGATGGAGTATCTTTTTGCTTGGGGTGCGGCATACCGATTTGGGGCGCCACTTTTGACTTGCAAGTGGAGCGGAGCCTAAGTGCAATGAGCCATGGGCATTGCAATTGGGATGGAACGATGGGCGATCGAAGATCCAACAATGCTGGTGCAACCGAATTCTGATTATGGGCCGGAGCAGCAGTAGGATGCAAATCTGTTAAGCGATCCTTCGCTTGGAAGTCTGCTTTGTAATAATTTGTATTGTGTCTGCCCAAAACTCATAGCCGGTACGCGCCGCAGGATGATGAAGCTGCTTCTCTGATATCTGTATCCGGTTCTCCTGTCGCATGGCTCATAATTAGCACCTCAGGCGGAGGCAAGCGGATCTAAATTCTTCATCCATAACTTCGGGTCTGGTATCCGAGCAACGGCATGGCCTCCGGGTGTATTAAGTTGGCGTTGATGGCGTTTGGAATGTAAGTGGACGAGAAAGGCCGGTGTCGAATGTTGATAGATCGTCATGTGCTCGACAATAATACTGGACTGTCCACTCTGGGATGTGTCTTCATCTCGATTGTATTCCTGGCGTTATGGCGTTGTGTAACTGTGGTCTGCCAACCGGGATAAATGCCGTCGAAGGCCTTTGGCGGTGTTTCCAGGACCTATGATATCCACCTTTGTTGTGCATCCCGTTGGTAGTCTTGGCGGTCGAGTGGGACTGTGCAAGGAATGGGACGCCAACAACAGGCACCGCCAGGCAGGATGGGGAATTGGAGTCTTTGGAGATGGGGATTTCGGTCCACCAGTCTATGCCGGTAGGGTCGCAAGCAGGCGGGCATCTGTGGTCCTCCTGGCTGGCTTCGGCCGTCTCATGCAAAAGAGGGAAAACCATGGCAGAGGCGATCGAAAGAGTGGGACAGGTCGTGCTTGCGGCTTGCCAACCAGGTTAGAAAGGCACTCCCGTCGATAGATCATGGCAGCGCGTCCGAAGGTCCGGCCGATGGGCAGAAAGAAGGAGTTGGGGAGGAAACACCTGTTTCGTGCTTGACCCAATTGAGCCATGATGCGAACAGATTCGAGCATTCGTGCCATAATTACCGAGCTAGCTACGCATCAGCGGTCTCTGCTATTCTTGCTGAATCATATGTGTTGACATTGGTAAGTTGTTGCCGTGAGGAATCCGAGCTGGCCATTGACTGGCATGTGGATGACCGATGATGAGCTGCCTGGGGGCACTAGGGGATGGGATAGGATTGTGAATGTTGGAACGGTAGGCGTTGGACCGTGCACAAGATGACGGATAGCCCATACACAGTAGACGTTGGATGGCACCGTTTTGGTCGCAGTGCTGTTCGTCCGTACCTAACCCCGTACACAGGGAGATGAAGGAGGTTCGTCGGTCCGTTTTTAATGTCCTTGAGTAAGGTAAGGAAGGAACACTGCTTCAGCCTACCTACCTTACTGTACCGTAAGGCAATAGGTGCGAGGAAGCCCCAATGACTGGAACACTCGTCGCAACTGCCCGGTAGTGTGGATTTGGTCAGAGGGAAGGAGACACGAAACAAGACGATTCATTGGCAACGTCTTGCCATGGTTCGGACGGAAAGAGCCACCTCCATCATGTTCGTTGGACTTCTGACTTGCTTCCTCGTCCAAGGTACCATGAAACCTTGGGGTGCACCTGACCGAACAGCTGCCTTCCCAGTTCATCTGTTCTCTCAGACACTTCAGGTAGATTGAGGAGTGGATTCGTCTTCCATTCTGGAAGGAACAGATCTGAGCAAGTGTCTTCACGCAAGGTATTCGTACCTAGGTACCTTTCTCGAGGCGGGGATATTCCATTTGATACAGTAGGCACTTCCAATGCCTTCTATTGTTCTTCTGCAAGCATAGAAGTTGGGCACAAGCTCAACCATCATCTAGATTCCTATCACCTTATTTCAATCTGTTCGGGGTCTTCTGTCCACTGTACGCAGCTCTCTCTTGTTCTCTGTCGCTGCCTGATTGACCGTCCCACACAGGAACATGAAATTCCTCTTGCCAAGCGAACTCAATTCGCAAAGCAGAAGAAAACCAAGAGAAAGGTGGTCCGAGACACCGTTCTTCCGTCTGTGAAATTGACACAAGCTTAGGCATTCAGGGTTGCCCTTTGGCTTTTCCACCTTGGTGCTGTCTTTCCCGATGTATCGGTTTCCCACGGAGACCCGGATCCCGCCGGGCCCGCCAGGCCTTCTCAACGGTTCCGTCCCGCCCGCCGATTGACGTGGGAAGTATCTGCGTCAAGAAAACTTGCAAGCCGCCAGCAAAGTACTCGCCCGAGACTTTGAGCTCGGCTGCCTTCTGGGGATACGTTATCCCCTTCAACACGTTAACCTATAATCTCCCACATGGGATAGGCCCAAACTGTCTGGCCTGTCAATCCATCTGTCATCTGTCTATGTATGTACTTGCTTACGGAGATCAACAGTTTGCCAAGTCCGTATCGCACTGCGTAGACCCTCGCCCTCCCCTCCCCACCTCAAAGAATCCAACCAGAAGGTTGCGGGCTCACGGTCCCACGCTAGGTCCGACACAGCCACAGGAGAAGGATGATTTTGACGTGTTCTCGCGTTCTGAGAGTGCGTTGACTGCGTCGTATACCTTTGTTCTGCCCCACGTTGGAATACCAGAATACGGCCCCTCTGCCTAACCCCTGAGCAGTGAGCACGCCAGTGGCCGCGACGCGAACGCAGAGGCATAATGTAGTGTCGCATTGGCAGACGCTGTTGACAGCTATTGGCCATGCCTCAACACGCAAGTCTGCGGGTTCTGTCCATTTTTTTTTCACTTCCCAAAGAAAGAAGCGATTGCTGACCTTGCCGGGGAAAGACAGACTACCGTACTGCGAACAGGGCGGGTGGATGCCATCCCCTTCTCAACTCTATACGGATAGCAAATACGGCGAACCCCGTTTTTGCAGTGGTTAGGCGTTGCGTTGTTCTGGCTCGGACGTCCGGCCTGCGACTTGCAGGATAGTCAGAAGAGTTGCGGAAGCCACGCCACGACATGCACAACAACGCATACACAGTACAGAGGTGGCAGAGGAAGACCGGCGGGATGGAGTCCAACATCTGCCAGGCGGGCCCTACTACCAACGCTCGGGCACCGAGCTAACATCCATCCCCTGGTGGACAGCAGAGGTAGGATGTTTAACGCTGCTGGTCTACAGTATCTCGTTGCTTACAGATCCCCAGTGTCCGTTCCCTCGTTTGCTAACGAGTTGGAATGGGGTGCCTTGTTGCATTTTCCTACTGACTTAGCTGCAGTAGTCTGAGGGCTGCCGTTGTCTGCCGTACCCTTACCAAGCTGGAGCGTACAGATACAGGCTACCTTACGCAGTACAGCAGCGTTGTGCTTGGACATTTCTTTTCTTTCTTCATGGCCATCCCAACTTCCGGCTCGTCCGCCCTGTTTGCCCGGCTCTTGCGCTGCAAGGCCTTGCTTCTGCATTGCATCACAGAAAATGGAATCCAGCAACCAAAGACGCCTTGTGGCTTGTCAGATTAGCTCCTTTAGCTTGCCCTGCCAGGCTTGACAGCAGGGACTACAAGTACGAAAGTACGCAGACCATACGGAGGAGTATCTTTTTCGTATTCATGTCCCCCTCGAATACTGGCTTGAATCTCAATTGCTTTAAATGAGCCATTGAGTCCCAATTGATGGCTCTGCCTTCTCTCGGGCACACATTCTTCTCAATCTGCTTTCCTTCCCCCTCGGGCCTCACTTACTGATCCAGTTGGTGACATTCGGCCCGTCGGATTTGGATGGGGTTGAACCATTCCTTATCGCCCGGTGCAAATTTCATAAGCCCTTTATTTTCTTGTTGCTTCTGATCCAATCCAGCCTAGTCTGACTACGGATACAAGAGTGACCAAACAGGGGGGGAGACATGCCCGATCCAGTCAACAACTCACAACCACGTAGGCCCCCAAGCTAGTAGTGGAAGATCCCGCGCGCACTCGCCGGCGGTGTCGTTACTCATGGGTACTTGGACCGCCAAGGAGTAGATAGCGCTATGAGATGTTCGTTGGGAAATCGCTACAATGTGTGGATGTTCGCCCGGGGTTATGGGTTCCTTGATGCCTGGGTATCTGCAAAGACCTAACCCAAGTGCCTACCACGCAGTAGTACCTAGGAGTCTAGGACACTCTGTAATCGGAGATTTTGGTACAGGGAAGGGGCCTCTCTACGAAAGCTGCAAGGAGGTGGACTGTCCAACCTATGGGGACACAAAATGCCTCCCGAGTTCCCGGGCAGGAGAAAAGGACCAAACGGGGCCACCTCAGTGCACCTACATAGGTAGGGTAGGCATGTACTATCTGCCCGGGTCGGTACGTATTCAACTATCGGATGGGTACCGACTTTTGGTGGGATGCTGTACAGCGTACGCAGTATCTGTACCGCTAGGAGGAGAGGTGAGGCATCTACCCAAAGTACCTACATCTTCATTGGTCTTACTCCAAGAGAGTAAACGTTGGCAAGGGAAAATCAAACATACGGGAAACCATCGGCAATTCTTTCTCCTTCGCGTTTCCCTCGAACTTTCTTCGAGCTATGCATTTGTCGATAGACGCACAGCACAAGCCTGGGACTAGGTACGGGAAACTCATGATCAGATCTGTGACAATGCCGCCATGGCAGCAAGAGATGGAGGCAGACTACGGCGTACTTGTCAGTCCATGGCAGCAGAGATGACAGGCATTGGGATTTGAGAGAGAGAAGTGCCTACTATGCTGCCCCAATCCAATATGCGCCAGGTCCCAGTCAGTTTAGTCCAGTCCAGTCCATCCCAATCGCAACCCACTTTCGATCCGATTGCCATCCCATCCCATTCCATCCGTTCTCCCCGTCTCCAGTTTCTCCCATCCGTCCACGTTTAGAACGGTGAACTGGTGCCTGACCGGGAGTCTGTCTGTGAAGTGACTGCTTGGAGACTGGACCGGTAGAGTGAGGAACTCGCCCATCCCGGCCTGTCCTATTTCTCTTCTCAATCCGCTCTGAGACACACGCCCAGAAATGTCAATATTTTTTGTCGCCATCTCACTCTCCGTGCCCTCTTCCTAGAGTTTGTCCTGCGCTTTTTCTCTCGTTCAGTCTGTTTCTCTCTCCTTCTTTTTGCTAAGATAGCTAGCTGTGTGTATGGATCTGTCTCAGTGAATTTGTCTACGTTTACCGAATTGGACGCCAGTCAATTAGAAGCAAAGTACTTTGGTAAGGTAGTTTGTCAAGCATCTGTGCCTAAGGTACCTACCGTAAGGTAATTAAGACACAATCCTCTCATCGCCGGCGCCTACATCCACGGTCCACGCCCGTCCTCCCTGAACCCCCCTGTCCCTTCCGTCCTTCTCCTGCCTTCCGCAGACGCCGCCCACCTCATCCTCCATCTCCTCCCCAAATTCACCCACGTACTTCCGTACCTAAGATACGTCGTACGCACGGCACGGCCACACTGGAGACTTTTTTTTTTCTTCCTTTCCCTCTGCTCCTGCTGGCACCGCGTGGCTCTCTCCTCATCCCATCATCCCAACTCTGTCACCGTACCTCCCTACAACCCACCCCTACCTCCCTTTTACCTAGTCGTGACTTCCCTGGCTGGCATCCGCAGAGGTGTCTTTGCCCGAAACACACCACGCTTCTTACACACCTCCCGCACAGCCCGAGGTACCTCGCGTGTCCCTTGGTACCTGCCTCTCCTACTTTACTTTTAGACGCCTCTTCCAGCCATTGCCGCTCTCTCCACCACCTCTGGCTCACTCACCCTCCTTCTATCATCCCGTCCCAATTCTCTAAACCTCTCTACCCTCTCTACCTTACCTCTTCCCTCCATATCCTCGTTGTTTTTTCGCACCGAGC